AAAAAAAACCGGCATAGCCTTCGTCTAATCGAGCTGAAAAGAGCACATGCGCATCTTTTGCTGATTGATGGGAGTGGAAACGCATGCTTTCGCTGTGGTGGGAAAAGCATTTGAGTGTAAAATATATGATTTCCATGAAAAAGGGATGCGAAAAGTATTGCAGATCGTGTATTTGTCTTCATACGTAATGCACAGACATTTAAAAAAGCTCATTTTATGCTTCCAGGCCCATAGACATACAGCTGGCATCATATACGTCTACACAATCGAGTTAAAAAGATGGTAACGGCGTCCCATTTCGAATTTTCACTTATCGTACAGGAGACCTGGAGATATCTCAAAAATGAATTTGAAACTTTTGAGTAACATGCGAGCAAAGAGTAACATCTAAGTTTGTCCAGTACCTGAAATCGCATCTTGTCGGAAATATCTTACACCTGTTCGTAAACATGACTTAGTTGATCTTTAGGTCCCATATTGTCAGAGAGCATCTGTATGTAATTCTAGCTTCAAATATCTCGTGTGATGTCGAATTTGTTTCCCTATCAAAATTCTTCTATATTTTCTTTGAAACTTCCGCTACTTTAAAACCGATTATGGAGTCGAATGCAAACCAGGAAAATTCCCGAAAAATTTTGACCTCCGCAGCTTTTTATGCGTTTTTTGCAGCTATGCAATGCAAAAGCGCATATTGATGAGGGGTAGTCTGTGTGTCTGTGTGTGCGTCTGTTACGCACTTTCATCTCAAGACCTGTAAATGCTGTGGGGCTGAAATTTCGGGAACTTAATCTGCGTGCACGTGCCAGCTCCAATCCCCAAAACGGACGCCATCACCCGCGTGGTACCCGCGTACGGGCTCGCCAAAATTTTTTCGGGTAAGTCCATAACTGGGGGATCTGAGAAGCTAGAACGCTGAAACCTTAGGGGGATATTCCCCGACCAACTAGGTATTAACGGGTTCAAACCCTGCCAGCGGGTAAGCGTGGTATCTACGTACGGGCCCTTGAAAGTTTCTTCCGGGTAAGTTGCTAACTCGGAAAAGTGAGAAGCTAGGACTAGAATTTTGAAGGGATATTTCCTAACAGTCCTGGCGGCCAGTCTGAAATTCTTTTAGCTAGAAGCATCTACCAATTGCCGTTGGCGAAAAAATCTCCGGGAGCTT